GCTGCAGAACTTGCACCGGGGAAGGGCCAGTCCCGGATGTTCTAGTGTGGGCCTATCTATTAGCCAATGGTTTGTAGGGGGACAGCGGTGGTCCAAGGGCCAGTCCCGGATGTTCTAGTGTGGGCCAGTCCCGGATGTTCTAGTGTGGGCCTATCTATTAGCCAATGGTTTGTAGGGGGACAGCGGTGGTCCACCTGCCATTGTAGAGAGATGAGAACGTCGCTGGTGTTGCCCTTATGGAGGTGAACCACTTGATGCTCCTCATTTGAAGTGTAAGATCTGGGGCGTAGGGCCAGGCCCCAAGGTTGCTATGTTTGAACTTAACGCACTATTGCCGCCAGATTCCTGTTTTCTGAGCACAGACATGCTAACCTGTGGGACCTGGCGCGTAGTACGTTGTCACACCGAGTTTCAGTAGCTGCGTAGCGTAAGGAGAATTCTGCAAATCTGCCGAGAACCAGGCCACGATCTGTCCGAGTAGGGATAGATCTGCAATTCGGTTAGTTGGTCAGGGATCTGCTCGCAACTTTGAGAGTTAGAATGCGGACTCCCAAGGATCTGTTCCACCATGTCAAGGCCCAATGTTCTCCCTGTGGGACCTTTGGGACCTGGCCCATAGCGGGTCACCTATGTTTGAACTTAACCCGCTCTGGGCCTTCGGCACGAACAGGTCACCTATGTCCTTCCCTGAACATATCGCATCTCTCTCTCTCTCTCTCTCTCTCTCTCTCTCTCTCTCTCTCTCTCTCTCTCTCTCTCTCTCTCTCTCTCTCTCCTCTGATATATGGGCACGATGCATGCACTTGCATGGATGAAACGCAAGTTTTATAGCGCCCAGGCCCCACTGGTGCTAAGTTCGTGCTTAGAAGGCACGAATCTGGTCGGAGTCTTGGTCAGATTCGTGGTTTATTAGCGTAAATGTCACCCTAGTGTAGCCTGCACCTCAGAGATTGAATGGAGAATGTCAAGCAAGGGGGGGCACCCATGAGTCTGCTCAATAGTCATTTTTTGCAGAGAAGATTCTCTAATGAGCTGGGCAATACTCATCTTTCTTTTCTCTTCGGAACATTACTTTCCTTGTTATTAAGACTGGATAGAGGCCTTGCACAAGGGCCTTAAAAAAAAAAAAAAAAAAAAAAAAAAAAAGCTCCAACGTCACTTGTACAATAGCGGGGCAATACTTAAAAATAAATAAATAATAATAATAAATTAAAAAAAAAAATAGCGGGGCAATACTCTGACGTTTGCCTGTTGATGTCGTCTCTACAGACAACTACAACTCAAGCCTCTGCCTTTGAAGAAGACAGTGCCACAGCGCTGGCATGTCATGGTACGTCAACAAGAATCTGCTTTCTGACAATTTGGGAAAGTCTGCAACAGAATGTTTGCTGACAATGTCAATGCGACAATGATGAATGCCGGGCGCTGAGTTTTTGTGCGTGCTGACAATGTTGAAAATATGAACCTAATACAAGGGATATTCAAGCAACTGCGTCATTGGCAGAGGGGACAATGGGAATTTGAACTCCTTAGCGCCGGGCCCGTTTCTAAGGCCCAGTGAGATGGAAACAGGACTCGGGACTGTCCCGACTTCGTGAAGCTGAGAGCTAGGCTTGTCTGGAAAGAAGTCGGGGCAGAATCCATCAGCTCGGCATGTTTCCCAGCAGGCTGTGACAGTACAGTAGGTCTAAACCGAGTTCAAACGGAACAAAACCGGTTGGTTTTACGTGGGCCCCCTCAGGCCACGGCAACATGGAAAGTCTAATCGAGTGTAACCGAGTTACGCATGTTTGACACGCTCAAGCTGCCGGTCTTTAAAGCAAAGGGCACACGATCCTTTGCGGGGTGCTGCCTTTTGGTTACTATAAATAGATTCTCATCAGTCATAACATAACATGCTGTAACTTGAAAACTAGGGTGCACTTCTGCAGATATGCCAGTGATTCCTAGAAATGATTTTGAGGCTTCCTGGGACATAATGGAGGTAACACGAGGTACGTTGACGCATGGATGGGATTCTTTAGACGATGAGGTACACAGTGCAAGTTTGTGTGACCTTCAGTGTGGAAGTTCTATTTTTGTAAGACCGAGCATGTCTGCAGAAAATGGTCTGACAACTGATTCAGCAGATAAGCCAGCAGATAAGCTGATTAACCAGATAAAGCCGAGCATATCTGCAGAAAATGGTCTGACAACTGATTCAGCAGATAAGCCAGCAGATAAGCTGATTAACCAGATAAAGCTGCACAGGTTTGTCAGAAAGCTAATGGAGCAGATAAGCAGATAAGCTGCACGAGTTTGTCAGAAAGCTGACCAAGCTGATAAGCTGATTAAGCAGATAACCCAACAAGCTGATTAACCAGATGTAAGCTGCACAGGTTTGTCAGAAAGCTGGTAAAGCAGGTAAAGCAGATAAAGCAGATAGGCTGCAAAAGTTTGTCAGAAAGCGGACTAAGGAGATAAGTCGATGAGCTGATTAAGAAAAGATAGGCTGCACAGGTTTGTCAGAAAGCTGATTAAGAAGACTGGCTGCACAAGTTTGTCAGCGAGCAGACTGAGCAGATAAGCTGATTAAGAAGATAGGCTGGACAGGTTTGTCAGAAAGCTGACGACGAAGGTGAGCCAACCAAAACCACCGTGCTTTTTTTTTTTTTTGTGGCGGGCCTCTGACCGTGGGCCAGTATGCCAATCGAACCTGAGCTCCTCCAGACTCCTCCAGACTGGATGGGCCCAGGGGAAAAAGCGGGCGGACCTGTTACTGCTTCTTGGAAAGCCTATCTTAATCAGTGGCTAGCCCATCTTAATCAGTGGCTAGCCCCACTATTTCCATGAAGCAGAAAGTGGAAAGGCCTTGGGACTATGTTGTTCAATTTGCACACTTATGGAACCTTCGCCAGTCCTGTTTCCAACCTGGTTGGGGCGTGCTGGTTGACGGCTGAGCAATTTCCAGTCGCGCAGCCAGAGTGGTGGTTTAACTTCCGTTTAAGCAGATAAGCTCCCACAACTAATTGGAACTTTTCAGTTTGGCATGAGCTAGCACCCTTAACCTGAGGTTAATCTCAGGTAACATAACTTCTGGATCAGCTGCTTAATTAAAGCTTCAGTTGGGGGAGGCGGCAACATTTAACCTAAGTTTAAGCGAGTTTAAGCTCAGGGACCATAACTGCTGGATCATCTGCTGCTTAACCAGATGCCTACAGCTTTAGCTACAGTTTGGTGGGATAACTTAAGTGTCCCAATCAAGATAAGTTTTGAGTTTCAGATCCTGATCCTGTCCTACCTGTGGTTCCTGAAAAAGAGTATCCTGGGGTGTAATAACTTTTTTTCAGAAAAAGAACAAACGGGGTTCGACTTTGACTCAATTGGGGAACATGTTCTGTGGTCATGCTGGCGTCGTCTACTTCTTCCATGTGCAGTGGTGGTGTTGTGTGTGAGGGATGGAAAGGCATGAAGTCTTTCCACACTGGGAAATTGTGTGATGATGATATGTTGTGCCACCAATGTCAGCAAGGAGGGTTGGATTCATATGGGCAATCTGAATCATTTTGTGAAAGGACAGTTCGACCCGGTTTGCGGCTTCCCCAGTAAACAGACCGCATTAGTTGGGTTGGTGTGGCGTCGGTAAGGGCCTTCGCCAATCGGCTGAATCTGTAAAGGTTCTTCGCCCAATCAGCCTGAAGCCGTTGATTGCGACTTCTGCAGAAGACGACGGACTGTGCATATGGGTCCAACAGGGCACATGCAAGGCTGCTAAGGGCCTTCATCGCGCAGTCTGAATCAGCTTTTCTAGATTCTGAAGTTGCCGCACTGCGTAGGTGGGTGCTGCAAGTGCGTTCCTTGGTTGCAGTAGACATTGTCGACTTCAGCACTGAAGTGTTTGGTGTGGGACAGGAGCTACATACGCCTAAATAGCTGCCTTAGAATGTCATAATCGCATACGATAATACGACGAAAACACCCCCAAGAGGGAGTGGAACAGTGTTGCTGGTGACTGAGAAATAATTGCTCGGCCGAGCCACTGGGCCATTGGCGGCGGCGTCCTTGGAAGTAAGTTAAGTGGCAAACTCTGGACTTCTTTATTGTTTTGCAGTTGAAGGCCAATGCGATCATCAGATTGAGGCGAGCGTCACTTGACATACTGATTAATAAAACATTTGTCCGCCAGAAGATACGAAACCTCGTGCAGTACATGCATTGACGGTTGCTGCATAAGGTCATGGCTGTCGGAAGCAACTCGCTTCTTTCGTAGTCCTGGAGTGTTTCGATTCACGCAGCTATTGTCAGAATTAGCATCATTGTCAGTTTCCAGTTTCCGTGCGGTGCACGCAATGACGCGACAGACGGCGAGTGAAGTTATGCAATGATGTGGTGTTGACCGCGTTGCTGCCCACGAGCATAACGGATGGCTGAAGAGGGCTTTTGCCTACTGGGATTTCGATCTACTTTGTTATTGTCATTGTTGCCACTATCAACAATCATTTTTCTGAAAATAAATATAAATATAAAAAATAAAAATAAAAAAATCCACCCTGTTTTTCATGACAGGGGTTCGTAGCATTGTTATCCGTCGTCGTGATCGCTAATGATTGCACTGCGGCAAGCCTCAGTATCTCATTGACGAACCGGCTTGTGTTTTTTTGTTCCCCTTCATGTTTAATTATAAAAAGGGCGACGGCCTTGGGATATCATCTTCAAACTCACCAGCCCCAGGTAAATTCAAAGTACTATTTACTCATCTGATTCGGCGGGATTCAAAATCAGGTCTGTATTCGAATAGTTCATGGGTGTACCAACTGAGCTAGGCCCTTCTTAAGGTGGGAGCTGTTGTTTAGAGTCTTTAGACGGAAAGGTGGATCATGGCTTCTACGTCCTTGGATGCTGCAGGAAGCGTGCAGTGCCAGTGTAAGTTGTGTTGTCGCAGGCAAGGAGTATGCACGATGTTCCTCTTGCTGGCCTGTGTCTTCGTATATGTTCATCATTACGTAATCTATCCTCATGTCAGAGACCCTGTTCTTGCCATTCGTGGCAATAATGTGAAACAACCGTCATCACTTTGTTGCGAAGAAGTTAATGCTGGAGGTTGGATCCCCGTGCGGGGATGGGCACATCGCCGTCTTCTTAGGTCTCATGCCACGGCTTCGTCTAGCTCCAGAACAGGCATTTTGACGAGGGGTGGCCCTTCTCATTCCTCGTCCATCGCTCGTGCCAGAGCAGAAACATCTGTGGTCGGAAGTCGAGCGAAGGCCAGGTCGTCATCAAACAGCTGGCAGGTATCTTCAGAGGCTAGATCAAGCAGCCATGGCGAGGGGCATGGCAATGAAACTGGAGGAGGAGGTGGGTGTGGGGGTGGGGCTGCATACGGGTCAAATGGAGCATGGGGCGAGGGGACAGGATCAGGCAGTGGGAGTGGGCCAGATGGAGGAGGGGGTGGAGCTGGGGGTGGTAGAGGGAATGGTGGATCGGATGGATTTGGTGGGGGTGGAGGAGGTGGTGGGGGTGGAAGTCGTGGTGGCAGCGGTAGCGGAGGGATCGTCAATGGCTACAGCTATGGCCGAGCATCAGTGTCTGCCACCCAGCATACCAACGCAACTGCAGTCTCGGAGGTGGCACGTCAGGTGGATGACCAAACAGTGCAATATGGGGGTTATTATAATGGACTTGCAGGTGCAGGAGGTGGCGAAGGGCCATCGGGGGGTGGAGGGGGCGGTGGAGGTGGTCTGGGGCTGGGCAATGGTTCGAGTGGGACCGGGTGGGGTATGGGCACGGGTTACACCCCATCTGGTTCTGGAAGCGGTGGGGGTGCTGGTCACGGTTCAAACGGGGGTGGTGGGGCGGGTGGTGGTGGAGGAAGTGGACAATTGGGCACTGGTGAGGGGTCTGCAAAGGGGACTATGCAAAGGGGAACGCAGAAAGGGACTGGAGAAGCAAGCGGGGAAGGTGGGGGTAAGCGCGGTAGTGGCGGCGGAGGAGGAGGAGCATTTGCGGTTGCAGAGGGGCCTGCTGCCGTTGGCTATGGTGCAGCTGATGCAATAGGCGGTAGTTCTCTGAACAACACCCAGGGTACAGGTTCTGCTTTTGCTAAAGCCTCTGGGGGGGCGGGATTGGCCATGGCTGGAGCGGGAGGAGGCGGTGCAGGAGGCGGCGGATATGGTAGGGGGGGTAGCGATGCAAGTGTTCAGAGTGGAAGTGGTTTCAGTGATGGAACAGGGCATGGGAGTGGTGAACGCTCCAGAGGTGGCGGGACAGGGGTTGCAGGTGGCAGGAAAGATCCACAAGGATCTTAATATGTCTTTGTAAGAAAGAAGAAAAGAAGGGGGGAAGGAAGGGCGGAAGGGGGGGGGACAGGATCTCGAGCATCAGCTGCATATTCAGGAAACGATAGCTCAGGCACACGGGGTGCTGCAGGGGGTGGGGGGAGGTGGGTCTTCAGGCCCAGGGGCCAGGGGGTGATTCCGGGGGCCAGAGGAATGGCGGCACAAGGCTGAGCAGTAGAAGTACTGTGGGCCATTGACAGTACTGTAACTCCGCACAGAACTGACAGTATGAGAATTTGGCAGTACAGCTAGCCTCGCCTAGTTTCATATGCCGAGCATTGTTGTATCCAAGATTTTCTGACAGCTGAATTTTGAAGGACGAACATGGGGCATCAGTTTCTGCATGGCGTTCTTTCATGCCCCCTTTTTCTCCCTGAAAGCACTGTCAAGTGCATACAAAACTTGCAGCAAAAGGACAGGCTGGTATTCTGTTGTTATTATTCTTTGCATCTTTCCATCACAGCTCTCCTTCTCCTTCTCGTCTCCTTCCTGCATGTATTCAGAACTTGTGTTTGTCATTGCAATGCTATCATTCCATTTTCGTCCTCGTCGGTGTGCCACCGTGTTGCGAGATGACAGAGGCAATTGTGGCATGCACACCTCCCGCACAGGCCCCTTAGGGCCCAGCATTGATCCATTCCAGGCCCTGGGCCGCACAGGCACCATCTTGAGCGGATCCCAGGACCACGGCCACCTTTTCAGGCCTAGAGAGAGACCAGGTAGTGGTAGGGGATTACGATCAGGACCACAGTGTGGGGATTACGACCGTCGTGAGTTAGCAAGTTGGCGACTATAAACCACAAGTCGTCTCTGTCACAGAAACTCATGGTTAACACTGTGTTGGGATTACAACCGTTGCGAGTTAGCAACTATAAACTATAATTGGTCTTTGTTGCAGAAACCCGTGGTTAACACAGTGTTGAGATTGCGATGTTGTGTTGTGGGCAGACATTTTTTCGGTAGTTTGTCGTAGTAATTTTCTAAGTAGCTCAAAATTCTCTCAAAGTTCTCTTAGCCAAACTTGCTGCTCCCGACGAATAGATTGGAGCCTTGTTCCCAAAAAAGAAAAAAAGAAGAAAAAAAAACAAAGAGATTGCGATCATAGTGAGGTAGCGACTATAAACTACAAATGGTCTCTGTCACAGAAACTCACGGTTAACACAGTGTTGGGATTACGATCATAGCGAGGATAATCAGGTCAGTTGAGGGACTTCCCCCAGCACTGTTGGCCACCCTCTGACACCAAGTGTTGGGGTTAACAACACACACACACACACACACACACACACACACACACACACACACACACACACACACAGCCTCTTCTATTCTGAGCGGCGCCGATCTGGTTGCTTATCCCCAGCGAGCATGAAACAGGACGTCGAAAGCAAGACACACAAAAGCAGGCAACCTCAATCATGGAGGACTGAGGGCAGGTCAACATATCCATATGACATGAGGTCCGGAGGGCGGAGGGTGGGGAACAGTGAGCGGCAACAAGCAGGATATACCTCAGACGTACGCCGCCTTTGCTGCTCTAGCCCATTGCCCGACTTCCATCAGTCCATAGAGAACTGATGTCCACAGCCGCGTGAACAAATGAACCCGGTTATAATTGTTCATGACCAGTCATCTACCATAGATTTGCACAGACCACTACCAACTGTCACAGCAAAAAGCAACACATGGTAATCCCAACACACTGTCGACCGGGAGCTTCTGTGACAGAGAGTTTCTGTTCACCCCAACACACGGTGACGGAGGGCGGCCAGCACTGCCGGGGGAAGTCCTTCAACTGACCAGCCGGTCAAAGGGTTATGGGGATATTGGGCGCAACGAAGGAGAGCGACAACTCGAGGGACAACTGATTTAATCAAGGAGGGTGGCACACTTCAGAGATCGGGTCAAGGAGCTCTCAATCAACCAACCACACAGGACAGAGGAAGAAGGAAGGCCACCTTTGAAAAGTCCATGCACTTTGAAAAAATAAAAAATAAAAAAAATTAATGCACGGAATGCTCCCCAGAATGGTAGGAGCCAGAACCGAGAGGTTCTGCTGTTCTTTAAAAAAAAAAAAAAAAAAAAAAAAAAAAAAAAAAAAAAAAAAAAAAAAAAAAAAAAAAAAAAAAANAAAAAAAAAAAAAAAAAAAAAAAAAAAAAAAAAAAAAAAAAAAAAAAGAGGAAGAGACGGTTGACCGAGCACACACTGAACCAAGAAACAACCTGCCAGCAGCCAGGGACCATCTATAATCATATTTGGACTACCAAACCGAGCTATGGCGCACTCAGGCAAGAAAAAGAAAACATCAAACACAAGGCTTTTTTCCAAAGAGCAAAAGTCAGGTCTGGACAGAACACAATTCCGGCTCTTAAACACGCCTTTGACTTCAGCCAACTACCGGTAGCGGCCACAAACGCCTACCAAATGCCAGACTACGCAGCACAATCCTACAAAAGACTGCACACAAGAAATAAAAAAATACCTAGTGGGGTAGTGGGGTAAGGCGTCTGAGGAGTTAATGTTTAAGGACCCTCCAGCAAACCGCATGAAGGGACCCACCAGGAGATTGAGAAAGAATTTTAAAAATCAAAGGAATAAACACTGAAATTCAAACTGCAAACAAAGAACGGTAAGGAGGAACAACCAGTAAATAGGCAGCAGGGGGTGTTAGGCAATACCATACTCAAGACTCCCAAGTTTTTGAACTGAATGACTGAAATTGTTGCCAGATACGTCCTTCTCCATAACTCCTACCGTGAGTATAATACGCCCTTAATTGGCATAATAGGGGATAGAACATGGGGGTGTTATAATCTTGCCCTTGGTTGCCGGTGTTCCTGAATTAAGATCGGGATCTGGGTTGAGACCGAAGCCAACCGTGCAATTGATCTTCACAGAGATCAAACGGTCTGTTAACCTCCCTGAGCACCCACCCTGGTAGATCGTAACGGTGCACTCGTTCAAATGCCAATCAATCAATAAAAATTATAAAATCAATTTAAGGGAAGAGACCAAACTTTCCGTGTCACAATCTATCTCGCTGCAATCCAGTGAACAAATCTGACAGAACCATTCTGTGACCATTGCTGGCCAAAATGGCAGAGCAAAGTACGACACCCATTAGAATATGTGTGTGCATGTGTGTATGTGTGAGAGAGAGAAGAGGATGAGAATCATAGAGTGAGAGGGAGACTATGAGAGAGAGAGAGAGAGAGAGAGAGAGAGAGAGAGAGAGGATGAGAATCATAGAGTGAGAGAGAGAGAGAGGATAGAATGAGAATGAGAACACACACACACAGAGAGAGAGAGAGAGAGAGAGAGAGAGAGAGAGAGAGAGAGAGAGAGAGAGGATGAGATCATAGAGTGAGAGAGAGACTGAGGATAAAATGAGAATGAGAGAACAGAGAGACAAGAAAGAGAGAGAGAAAGAGAGAGAGAGAGAGAGAGAGAGAGAGAGAGAGAGAGAGGCACAGCCATAGAAATAAGGCTGTGAATGGAAAAGACGAAGTTGGGGGAGTAGCAGTTCTTTGCTGGGA